ACAGCACGGTACAGGCCACTTACTTTCAAGTTTCAACGCCATTCTTTACGACAGGAAACAGTACAACTCTAAGTCGATAGCAGAAGGAGAAACTTGCCGAAACGGTAGTTCAATTGGAGAATTTGAGTATTCCAAGATGGCGGAAGACAAGTTCCGGTATCAGTGCAGTATGTACATAAAATTTCTATTACTGCCTAGACTGGTTCAATTTTCGTCTGATGATCCATTCATGAGATCGTTTGCATCCGCTTTTGTAGATTTTCCCGGGAACTGGAACCCTGGGGTTGAAGTCAGTATCTGCAAAACTTAGACTGCGACAGAAAACAATAGCCTGATCTATGTGTTCGGTCTTCTTTGAACATGCGAGTGAGCGTGCGGACATGTTGGTGCCTGGAGTGGTGAATGGATGTCCAGAAAACGCTGTGATTGATACAGGATCCACCGCTACATTGTTGTCAGAAGATTTTGGCGACCGCCTACCTAAGGAGCTGGAAAAGGAAACCTCTGACCAAGGCCCGAGGTTAATTGGTGCCAACGGACAACCACCGCCGCCCGAGACGAGGAGGACACCGCTCGGGTAGTTGGTAGTGCTCAGCCAGTTGGCGTGATGGAAAGGTGAACACCGCGTTCCCGCCATCCGCCCCAGAGTCTTGGGAGTCCTGTGTGGCACGAGTAAGTGATTTCGGTGGTACTGACTGGATTGGTTGTGTTCGATATTACAGGGCGTGTTCTTTTTTCATGTAAGCGGGGGATATGTCATATCCATACTATTGACACGTGCCTTTTAGGCCTCTACGTGACAAGTCTGCCTTATTTAGGTGTCTAATTATTTATTTATATCCCGTTAACGGATTCAAAATCGCCTTTATTTTATGTCTTTACACAAAGCCTGGCGCCTTCCTTATTTGGTATACCCTGTTTTTCCTTAGCTGGCTCCTGCTCTTTGTGATACAGTTTATACACATTATTGTTAAGTTTTGGTACACTGCGGCATGCCGGTGTACTA